GTGTGTGTGTGTGTGTGTGTGTGTGTGTGTGTGTGTGTGTGTGTGTGTTTTCACAAATTCTCGTTTCCATTGTCATGCCAATGTTGTACCTTACCTGCTTTCATTTCTGCCCTCTGTGTAACAGTGAAAGCCATGGGTCCCGGGGCACCCACACGCAGGGCTTCATTAGACACAAAGACACTTTGAGATGTGTTTGCTCTTTTTGTCTCCAGATTAAATTATTTAGTCAAATTACTGTTTTCAGAGCTTACATGATCCAGCCTTTTTATTTGTTTGCGTTTTCTTTTTCCTGTAGCATATTTGAAATACAGTGAAATGCACTTGTTTTGTATTCCAAGTGCCCCTCCTTCCCCTTTCCCATTCCATACAGCTCTCTCCTCCCCATAAGCCAGGGACACCTCAAAGCTGGCAAAGAAGGTCAGTTTTCTCCACTAAAATGGGAAATTAGATTTGATTATCCCCAGGGCTGCTTCCTCCAAAATTATTTGAATGATATTAATACATACTTACTGGCCACCACTCAAAATTTTATCAAGTTCCCTAATACCGTATATGCTCATGTATAAGTCGAGTTTTCCAACACATTTTTTTATTTTTTTATTTTTTTGAGAGAGTGAGTGTGAGTGAGTGAGAGAGTGAGTGAGTGTGAGTGAGTGAGTGAGAGAGTGAGTGAGTGAGTGTGAGTGAGTGAGAGAGTGAGTGAGAGAGTTCCAGCACATTTTTAATGCAGTTTTTATGATAACTTAGATGCCTCGGCTGATAGTTGGGTCTACTTATACTCAAGGATATACGGTAATATTTTGTTGGGAAGTGCTACAATGATAACCTAGCTTTGATCTTAAAATTTAGAGGAAAGTTTGGACAACTGTTATTTGGTTAACTGTGGGAAGCAGCGAGCTTAGAGATAATCCCTACAGTGGGCCAGTTAACACAATTATGCTGACTAAGGCTCTGGGTCACTTACCTGTCCAGTGTGTGTGATATTCATTAGAAGGGCAGCCAGGTGAGAGAGTTTGGATGAATCAGTGCAACTGAGTCCTAATGCTAATAATTCTTCCAGAGTACATTCCCTGCTAAAGATGGGCCAGTAATTCTCTTTCAATATATGAATACGTCCTATCAGTTTATTTTCCTTTCATTATTGATAACCAGGGCACAGTTGGTGTTGGTAGGACCTTAAAAAAGTCGGCTTGTATCTGTGTGATGTTAGCAGCTGAGGCTGGCATGTCTCCCCTGTTCATATCTGATAAAAAGAAACAAAAAACAGAGCAACTAGCACCAGGTGTTTTTGTCCTTCTTGGAGGTGTCACAGAAAGGAGGATAGCTCATTTGACAGTTATGATAATATTGAATAGGAGGGTAAGTTTTGAATCTTCTGGGACATTTCAAAAGGGAAATAATTATTTGAAGAGAAAAGATGTTCTTTCCTTAATGCTTAATACTTTTTGTTACCGGTTTTAACTCTAGGTACCTAGCTTATTCTATAGTATATACTATGACGTCAAACTGCTGACTCTGGACAGGTCCACATACCCAAGATCTCCTTCCCAACCACATTGGGTATCCCTGCCCAAGGGTTAAGGAATGCCGGTGGCACAGTAGTTTAAGAGCTGGACTCCTAACTGCTCTGCGGAAGAAAAGACCTGGTACTCTGCTACGGTCGGCACTGGCTCCGTGGCACACTGCAGCAGCTTAGAGGGTTAGAGTCCCTTTTGCTGACATATCCCCAACAACGAGTCAAAGAGAAAGGCAGGCATGCCTACGTGAACAGTCCTTTAGCCATGAGATATCTTCTCTGCTGACCTGGGAGGTTTGGTCAGAGGAGGACATAAAAACAAATAGGCTAGACTTCGGCTCTGTGTCATCTCTTGGCTAGAGTTCATTGAACAAAGCAAATTTGTCACAGATTTGACTAGCCAAGCCCAGGTTTCCAGATCAAATCAGCTATCAACCCCTCAGCAGGTTATCGAGCACCAGAGCATAACAGCTGATGGCTGAGAGGACACTCCTGTCCCACTCCAGGAGTGGGAATCACTTCTAGTGGCAGAAAAGAAATAGTTAGGAAACAACCAGTACAAAAAATGTTCTGTAGCTGAAGCTGCCCCTCGCTTCAGCCCCTGTTCTTCCACAAGCAGTTTCATGTCAACTAATCAGAGACTGTAGTGCCCTTTCCCTTAATGGTACTCACATGGGAAGTGGGTATCAAAGATCGCTTACACGATCCCAAAGGAACCTGGTATCACAGTGGTAGTTTGGCTGTGCAAACCCGCAAGCTCCTCTGAGTCAAGAAGGTGTGCAGTCTGTTTTTGTAAGAACTTACAGTCAACGTCTGTAAGCAGTCACAGCCTTGGCAGCCTGCTCGAGCAGTTCTGCTCTGCCCTGTAGGGGGCTGTAAGTCAGAGTTGATTCAAACACATCAGTTTGGATGCTTGTTTTTAATGCTACCCTTGGGGTTATCTGTTGGACTGCGATCAGCAAGGTCAGCAGTTTGAAACCACCATCTGCTCTGTGGGAAAATGACAGAGCTTTCTACTCCTATAAGGAGTTATGGTCTTAGAAAACTACAGGGGCTGTTCTACTTTGCCCTATAGGGTCACCATGAGTTGGTATCAACTCAATAGCAGAGAAAGAGAGAGAGAAACATAGATCCTAATCAAGGTGAATGAATGTTTAAGAACTTACGGTGTGGGAAGAGCCAAATAAAACCATGGCAGAGCTCAATGATGTTAGAAATAGAAGTCATGAGAAATCAAATAAAAACTGCCAAAAATCCTATCACTGATATGGTGGACAGTCTTGAAAAAAATATCACAAGAATGTAGAAAAAAAGCTGAGGTCAAAGTGTGCAGAGTGAAATAATAGACACAGACAAGGAGCCATGGACAGATGATCGGTATTCCTGAAGAAACTAATGGAATTAGTGGAGTAAAATATACTCAGCTACAGAAGAAAATGTTCCTGAAGAGGAACCACCACCCCCAGATTGAAAGAACTAAATATATTTCAAGAAAACTTAATGGAGAATGGATATCCGGTACTGAACTTTTGTGATTAAAAATAAGAAAAGAGGTCT